GAACGAAGTGTGGATATACAGAAAATTTATACAGAAGACAACCTAACAGATATGTCAACAAAGCGAATCAATACTGACAAGTTTACATGGGTTTGATCCTCCATTAGCCTAGTTGGAATGTAAGTAGCATGAAAAGGCGTGTATGAATGATAGAAGGGTTACAACAAAAGTGAATTTAAGTGGGAGAAATGTTGGCTACAAGTGAGTAAAGCCAATTTTGCAGCAACTTTCTATGACCACAAATAACTCATTTAATGCTTGGTTGGCTTTATTTGAAAGTCATGGTTCGAATTCATTTACCAACCACTATTGCCGTTTACTAAGGATGCGTGCAAGTTTAGTAAAAGTTAGAAGGCACTAATTATTTATTTATTTTTATTTGCTATTCACATTAAACTTTCTATGCTTCTAACTTCTGTACGCAGAGGAAATTAGCGTATAAATAAGGGGATTATTGCTGCAAAGAAATATATACCATCTCCGCGTAAAATTTCATTAACAGAGGATTTGTAAACTTTGAGTGATACTATTAGTAGAGAAAAATATTGTTTTTTCTCGAGTGTTTCCTACTTAATTGTTGTTCTCTTCTTGTATTTAAAGAGTGTTATTGTAATTCTCCTATACTTGTCCATGGATGTAACCTAAAGTAAGTGAACCACGTAAATATTTGTGTCCATTTTTAAATACACTTTCTTAGTTCCACTTTACTTGCAAGCCAACCTTGACCTACATTTTTCCTAATAATTGGTGGGGATTACGAAATTTGGGAATGCCGAATGTGATTCAATGATTTGGGAATTCTGAATGGAATTGAGGGTCCCTTTTAATTTGTATTTATACTGTTTCGAATTTGCGAATTTCTTCATATACCGTTTTTATATTTATACTTTTTTTAATTTGTATTTTTAATTGGGAATGCCTTCTAATTTGGGAATTTGCTGTATAGAATTAATGAGAAAATAGATCTAGATTCAAAAATCAGTCGTCATATCAAAAATCCCGAATCTGTCTTTGATGATTGCTCTTCAAAATTATCTTCAAGATAGAATTAAAAAGACCCATTTACCTATTGTATTTTTGAATAAGGAAAAAAAAAAATTGCTACAAAAATGAGAATAAATTTTAAAGCACGTTAATAATATTTTTGGATGAAATTATGATTAAAGATAAAAATTTTTGATAAGTGTGATAATGAATAAGGATTAATAACTTTTACTATAATTAAAATATGGTATTCTACATATATAAAAGAGCGAGGGCACTAATTGGACACGAGTCACCAATATATCGTCATGTACTTTTATTTATTTTTTATTGTGTTGGGAAAACTAAACATCGCTATACCATTTCTCCATTTTTTCACTCAATCGACCATTCTTCTCAATTCCTCTGCTGTTCTTCATCTTCTTTCATTTCTTTCCAAAAATCAAAAAATTATGAATTATAATTTGCTCAATTGCATGTGCTATTATTTTGGGTTCATCAATTCCTCGAATATCAACTTGCATTCTAAGTATTTTTGTTATATTCTTTTAAGTATAATATAAAATAAAATAGATTGTATACATCTAATACATTTTTCTTTTTAATTGAAACTAGCATTGCAAGCTTTTGTATGCATGAGGTTCCTTCTTCCTCTTCGTTGAAATCAAATCAAAATCAAGTTGCAGACTGCTGGTTTATGTAAGTTTCTTTTTATTTACTTTTCGTTTTGTGATTTTTTTTTCAATTGGTGGAATTTTGGAGAATTTAATACTTTAGGTTGATTTGAATTGACAAAGAAGTCTAGAATTTAAATTGATGAATTTGACTCTAAATAAGTGCAGCTGAGCAAAGCTCCATCCAGTAGGAGTAGGAGCTCAGTGCCGCACAGATCAATAGTTGCTCCGTAGGAGTAGGAGCGCAGTGCCGCACAGATCAATAGTTGTACGGAGCAACTATTGATCCGTGCAGCACGAAGCATTGTTTATTTAGATTTTTTACCAGATGATTAATGTTTTGAAGTTTGGAGATTTCTTTTCTATCAAAGAGTTTATTTGATTTTTGATTTGATGTTTCAAAATTTCAAGTCTAGATATGTCTAAATTATTCAATATCACAAGGAATAATCTACTTGTACCAAATGTCTTACCTAATTTTTAACCGAATTGACAAGTGGCGTCCCTCCCCCTATTGGAGGGGCGCTTGTCCACTCCAACAAGGGTGCGACACTTGTCAATTCGGTCATCCATTTGATAAATGATTTGGTACATATAGCATTTCCCATATCACAAACAGTATATGAAGTTTATGCCCTGGAGAAGATGATATCTCGATTAGTTCATCTATTCCTGTTTAGATGGAGGTTTGGAAAAAAACCTTTTTCCTGGTTAGTATGGGGTTTTCTCCAAAAACCCTCAATCATGATTGGATGTTTATGAGGAAACCTCGAATCGTGGATGGAGGTTTGGGGTACTGTTTTCTCTGAATTTTATTTTTCGTTTTTCTATTTCTTTTTTAATTTGTTTTGTTCCTATTGTAAATAATTTTTTTGATTCAAAATTCTTTTTAATTCTTTTCTCTCCATGTTAAAACTTAATTTTTTAATTTTAATTAAATAATATTTATGTATTCTTTATTTAATTTTTGTAACTTTCTTTTGTTTAATTTGTTTTGCTTTTATTATATATTTTTTGAAAATTGTTTTAAAATTTCTTTTTTCTTCGTATTCTAGATATTTTTTTTTTCAATTTAAAATTCTTTTAATTATTTTCGTTTTATGATAAAATGTATTTTTTAATTTTAATTACAAAATAATATTTATTTTTAATTTTAATTATTTCAATTCAATTAAAAAACTTTATAATAATCTTTTTTTTTCTATTTTTGCTAGCTTCATCAAATTTAAGATTTTATTTTTATTTCCCCATCCAGGATGGATGTTTTTTTTCCAAAACCTCCATCCATAATGGAGGATGGTATCCGTATTAGTTCATTTGTTCTTGTTAGACCTCCATCTAAGATGGATGTTTGGAGAAAAATTTCAAAAACCTCCATCCATGATTGGATCGTTTCTTTTTGTTCAATTCACTTCTTTTTTTTGTCTTAGTTGCTTTTCTTTTTGTCGAACTCACTTCTTTTGAGTTTTTCTGTTGGCTCGGTCTCTTAAAATCTTTGGTTTCTACCCGAATCCAATAAAAAATGGGATTACTTTTTATTGGTTCCATCATGATTGGAGGTTATTGAGGAAATCTCCGATCATGATGGAGGTTTGGGTTTTGTTTTTTCTTAATTTTATTTTTCGTTTTTTAATTTATTTTGTTCATATTATAAATAAAAAATTTTAGACTTAAAATTCTTTCTAATTCTTTTCTCTCTATGATAAAACTTAATTTTTTTCAATTTTAATCAAATAATATATATATATAATAAAAACAAAACATATTAAATAAAGAAAGTTACAAAAATTAAATAAAGAATATATATA